GGGGGGGGGCAGATTGGGCGTATGTGTGTTTTGTTGAATAAGAGCAGTAAGTTCCCCTAGCGATGTGGCTTTAGTTTATACCACGACCCACGAAAGCGACGCCCCGGTTGCACTGTCCTACATTCACTGTGACAACAATCGTTTAGGGCACAACCACCCGCCAGCAGAGTTGTTCGCAATTACCCTTTAGAGGCATTTAGTTCTCGGCATCATACGTCTCAATGATGTCGTGTGAGGGCCAGATGCGAGCCATGCCGTCTTCCGCACCGGAAGTAAAAGAATTTCCATCGGGGGCCCACCGAATATGGAAGATGGGCCCGTGGTGACCCCTGTGACATTCTATCTCAGTACCATCCAATGTAAATTCCTTGGCCTTTAGTTTTGATCCAGCAGCAACGTTTTGTCCGTTCGGGGAAAGCGATGCGCATTCCACATCTTCGCTGGTTGTAAAGGAGCTCTTGATATCTAAAGACGTGGTGTCAATAAATGAGATACTCTTCTCGTGGGCAGCAACGATGCAATTGCGATGTGTGTACTCAAGAAAGTTGAGGCCCGGTATCTCTTTCCGCAAGTAGGGACGAGAAGTATCACGAAGATCCCACTTCATAATAACAGTTTCACACGCTGTGACCATTGTGGTCGGGTCAATAAAATACGTTGCCTTGACTTGGTTTACTTTTTCGGGACTGTCAAAGCTAAGGGGCTCTGCATTGTACGCATTAGCGTCGAAAATACGGACCAATCCGTCAAAGCACCCTGTAGCTACCTTATTCTCCACCCAGTCGCAAGACTTGATGTATTTGGGGTGGTTCCACGTGTGTATTTTCTCTCCCGTAATTGCATTCCACACGATCGAGGAGTAGTCACCACTTCCGGTGACCAAGCGTGTGGCGGGTTGATTGAAAGCAGAACAGTACACTGCGCCTTTATGACCTTCAAAACTGCCAACCCAGTCCCCTGTTTCACCGTTGCGGAGCATGGGCTTGGCGTCGTGGCAAGAGGTGACAAGCCAAAACGTCCCATCAATGATTTCACTGTAGTTGATATGACAGATGGGTCGCGTGTGTCCTGAACAAATTTTCACTTTGGTGATGTCGGCGTTGGCGTTATTGGTTGATGCAGCCTCTTTCTTCTGCCCCACAGAAGTTTTATCAGGTGCAGTGTACTTAATGCTCATCCTTCCCTTTTTTCTAAACCTCTGCAAGGATTCGTATTTTTTTTATTCTTTAGGTTGCTCTGAAGTCCTCTTTTGTTGGCTGGGGAGTATGTTATATCAAAAGATGAAGAAGAACAGAATATTCTAACCCATAAACACCAAATGCACATTCCACAAATATTGCCTGCATTCAAGGCTATGATATATATATATATATATATATATATATATATATA